GCAATCACAGCAGGCAGACACATAGTATAAGAGCTCAGCACAGATATGCATGGATACATAACACAGGGGCATTACAGTGTGAAGTACCTGTACATACAAGGCTTTTTATTTTTTTGGCAGCAACAGAGCCAGTGGCAACAGCAGATGAACCAGCACAAATGGCAGTCCGATATCTTGCGTCGCAGCTACTGGATGTAACTGATGTAACAGTGATCACATTAATGAACATACCCACATGTCCAAAATATAAAAAATAAAAAAACCTGTCAGTGCATAGAATCAGAACAGCACAGAGGCATGACAGCGTGTTATACAGGTGTGAATGGGACACACAATGATTTCCCCCCCCCCTTAAACCATATGACAGGCAGCAGACACACAGCAGGCCTATAAGACTTGTCAGTGCATAGAATCAGAACAGCACAGAGGCATGACAGCGTGTTATACAGGTGTGAATGGGACACACATTTTTTTCCAAGCAGAGTGTCACTGTGCTGTAGAAGAGTTGTGGCAGGGTGGGTGGACCGGTGTTGGTAGAAAGCCTCCACACTGCGGCAAAGTCCCGGTCCTTGTGGAGGGGAAAGTCAATGTCTTTTAAAAAAAAACACACACACACAACACTGCAAACAACTATATACACCTGCCCCAGCAAGAGTGCAAAATCAGTCCGGGGCTCGATTGCATGTGAAACAGGAAAAAGCCAGAATTACATGGGAAACGCTAAAAAGTCACTTTTAATAGTTTTGTCCATTACAGCCAAACTAAGTGAGAGAGCCACACCAAACCACTCTATAATGTACAAGTCGCCGCTGTGAAGCTTCCTGAGGTCGAAACTGGCAGATAGGTGCTTCCAGAAGAGAATGGCAGCTTGTGTGAAAAAGCTTGTTTTCTCAGCCTGAGAAGCTCATTCAGCACACTTAGTTGGAAAAACACCAAAGTCCCACAGAATTGCATGTGAAAAAGGAAAAAGCCAGAATTACATGGGAAAAGCAAAAAAGTCAATTTTAATATTTTTGTTCATTACAGCCAAACTAAGTGAGAGAGCCACACCAAACCACTTATGCATCACTTTAATTATGCCACTGTGAAGCTTTGCAAGTCCAGAATGAATTATTCTGTGGTCAAGTGTGCCCTCTTTTGTCGAAAAAGCGTAACTGCATTTGGAAGACAGAAAACCACTCTATAATGTACAAGTCACCGCTGTGAAGCTTCCTGAGGTGGAAACTGGCAGATAGGTGCTTCTGGAAGAGAATGGCAGCTTGTGTGAAAAAGCTTGTTTTCTCAGCCTGAGAAGCTCATTCAGCACACTTAAGTTGGAAAAACACCAAAGTCCCACAGAATTGCATGTGAAAAAGGAAAAAGCCAGAATTACATGGGAAAAGCAAAAAAGTCAATTTTAATATTTTTGTTCATTACAGCCAAACTAAGTGAGAGAGCCACACCAAACCACTTATGCATCACTTTAATTATGCCACTGTGAAGCTTTGCAAGTCCAGAATGAATTATTCTGTGGTCAAGTGTGCCCTCTTTTGTCGAAAAAGCGTAACTGCATTTGGAAGACAGAAAACCACTCTATAATGTACAATTCACCGCTGTGAAGCTTCCTGAGGTGGAAACTGGCAGATAGGTGCTTCTGGAAGAGAATGGCAGCTTGTGTGAAAAAGCTTGTTTTTTCAGCCTGGCACACTCATGTGGAAAAACACCAAAGTCCCACAGAATTGCATGTGAAACAGGAAAAAGCAAGAATTACATGGGAAACGCAAAAAAGTCACTTTTAATAGTTTTGTCCATTACAGCTGAACTAAGTGAGAGAGCCACACCAAACCACTTATATCACTTAATACAAACTCAATTCTTACAGCAACTAAGTGAGAGAGCCACACCAAACCACTTATGCATCACTTTAATTATGCCACTGTGAAGCTTTGCAAGTCCAGAATGAATTATTCTGTGGTCAAGTGTGCCCTCTTTTGTCGAAAAAGCGTAACTGCATTTGGAACACAGAAAACCACTCTATAATGTACAAGTCACCGCTGTGAAGCTTCCTGAGGTGGAAACTGGCAGATAGGTGCTTCTGGAAGAGAATGGCAGCTTGTGTGAAAAAGCTTGTTTTTTCAGCCTGGCACACTCATGTGGAAAAACACCAAAGTCCCACAGAATTGCATGTGAAACAGGAAAAAGCAAGAATTACATGGGAAACGCAAAAAAGTCACTTTTAATAGTTTTGTCCATTACAGCTGAACTAAGTGAGAGAGCCACACCAAACCACTTATGCATCACTTTAATTATGCCACTGTGAAGCTTTGCAAGTCCAGAATGAATTATTCTGTGGTCAAGTGTGCCCTCTTTTGTCGAAAAAGCGTAACTGCATTTGGAACACAGAAAACCACTCTATAATGTACAAGTCACCGCTGTGAAGCTTCCTAAGGTGGAAACTGGCAGATAGGTGCTTCCAGAAGAGAATGGCAGCTTGTGTGAAAAAGCTTGTTTTCTCAGCCTGAGAAGCTCATTCAGCACACTTAGGTGGAAAAACACCAAAGTCCCACAGAATTGCATGTGAAACAGGAAAAAGCCAGAATTACATGGGGAACGCAAAAAAGTCACTTTTAATAGTTTTGTGCATTACAGCCAAACTAAGTGAGAGAGCCACACCAAACCACTCTATAATGTACTAGTCACCGCTGTGAAGCTTCCTGAGGTGGAAACTGGCAGATAGGTGCTTCTGGAAGACAATGGCAGCTTAAATGAAAAAGCTTCTTTTCTCAGCTGTTGTTCGACGTCATCCCGAGCACATGGTTACTTATCATATGGCGAATTAAAGGCACCTGCACGCATTTAAAGCAAGGAGACCTGTTTTGTTAAATGTGCATTAATATTTGTATCGTTTTGGCCTCCTGAATGGCTCCAGGTTTAAAAAGTCAAGTTAAAAAGTATTTAAATAGACATGACAAGGTTTTAATCAATTCAATATTTATTAGGAATGGTCAAAATGTATAATAGATAAGCTGGGAAAGTGCAATGTAGCAGCAGCATTACACACAGTAACAACACACAGACATATCAAAAAAATCAACATAGAATGCAATATAAAAAATGGATAAATAACCAGTATAATTGCAGTGCAAACTAAAAATAAAAAATATAAGGTGCAGTGAACAGATGAAACATATAAGGTGCTTGGATAATAGTACAGTAAATATTTAAAAAAAAAAAACTTTTAATGTCTTTTTAAACTCTTCTCAGCCAGCCACAGCTCCACAGTCTTCCCTTCATAGAAAGCACAGAAGTGCTCTCCCCCATATTGGCTGTGGCCAAAGTCTTTCTGCTGTGGCTGGCCACAGAGTTGGCAGATCCGCAGTTTGTGGGGCTTCCTCACTTTCCCACCTGGTTTCTCTGGTTTCTCATGCCTCTGTTTGAGGTTCCAGGCTGTTGTTCTGGGGAGCTTCTGTAGCTCACCAGGGCCAAGCTGTTCCCTGATCTACTCTTGCACTGTGCGTCCTCCAGGGCCCTCTTCCACAGCACAAAAGTATTGGCCCTTGAGGTAAGTGTGGCCACCATCCACCGTGCATGCTTGGCCACGGATGTTGCAGGGGTCACCAGGTTTGTGCTGTGGCTTTCCCCTGGTACTTTGGAGGACTTTTTTGTCTTTTGCTGCTTTAATTTTGCGCCTGTACACAGTGCAACGGGTGGGCTTGCTGGTCCCCGCCACTGGCTCTGCTGCCTGAAGCCGTCAAGGAGAGGAGCTGGAGGAGGAGGATGTGCAGTCGTAGTCCACTTAAATACAAATACAATACAGAACTCTGTTAGTCAAGGTACATAGAAACACAGATGCAGTTTAACAAAGTATATTTCTAACAAACCTAATGAAGTGACGTGTTTGGTTTTCCGCGTTGCTTTTCTGCCTTCCATTCTGTCCAACTAAACCCTCAGCACCCCCTGTTGTTTTACAGTGTCCATTTGAGGCCCATTCTCACCTAGTCTCTAGGTAAACCTTTGAACCTGACCCTGGGTTGACCCCTTGACCCTAGTTTTAAGTGAGGAGAGGGAATGATGTATTGTGTGACTGTTACCTGTGGGAATTTAGTGATATCAGGCACCTAGTCTAGATACCTAGTCTTCCCTATATTTATTTAATTTCTTAAAGACCGAAAGAAGCAGGAGAAAGCATTGGTTTAAAAAAGAAAATTTTATTTAAAACAAAAACAATTAAGACAGCAATATACAACTATATAGATATATATTGGAATTTCCCCATTGTGGGACAAATAAAGGAATATCTTATATAAGACAACTATATACACAATATTTATTTAGCAAACATAATTGACAAACTAAATACACTATATACACAATATTTACAAATCCCTCCCTCCCAAACACACACACACACACACACACACACACACACACACAAAGCGTTCGTTCAGAGAGGGGGAGCCGCCCCATCACTCACTCACACACACACACACACACACACAAAGTGAAGTGTTCGCTCAGGCAGGGGGGGCTGCTCCATCACGCCCCTTCACCTCTGCCAGCCACTGCTCCACAGTTCTCCCTTTCCCCTCGGCCCGGGAGCAGAAGGTCTCCTTCTTGTAGCGGCTGTGGCCAAACGCCCGCGTCTTCGGTTGGCCACTGCGCCTGCAGTTAAAGTGGGAGACCTTCTTTGCTGGTTTTAAGTGTTCTCCCAGCTCCCGGCACAACGCTCTTTCTCCTCCTGGAGCTTGCGCCTCCAGGCGGTGTTCCTTGGCACTGGTGGAGCAGTGGCAGCTGTGGCTGTGGAGGGGATGTCACCGGCCTCCGCGCTGACGCTGGTGGACAGGACGGCGTCCGCGCTGGAGGCTTGTGGGGTGGCTGATGAGGAGGAGGAGGAGGAGGCAGTGGAGGAGCTGGCGACGATGAGGTCCAGGACCAGAAGCGTCCGTGGGCAGGCGGTGCTGGAGGGGCTGGCCTGGCTGCTCAGGCTGCTGCAGCACAGTCGGTGGGGCAGGCAGGGGGCTCCGCTGCAGTCTGGGGAGTGCTGGGCCCCAGGACTGCAATGGCGATGGTGTCCCTCATCATGGCCTTGCTCCTCTGGTTGTGCCTTAAAAAACAGAATGTAACAAATGCACATTAGTAATCATGACATCACACACACACACTCACACAGTGCCACTTCAAATCAGATGTGAGAGAAAGGATCAGGTCTTACCATTGCGTCAGGGTCCGCCGATTGACATCATATAGCTGGAAGCGGGTGCTCGTCATGAGGGCTGCACAACTATAAACATTCTCGCGAATTGTTAGATAGTCCCTCATGACGGCACCCCAGCGAGGAATCCAGACCCCGGCAATCTTCCTGCCCTCGCTGCAGTGGAGGATGCTGAGGTCCAGCAGGACAGCCTCCACGCTCCCGCCCCCTTGCCCAGGACCGCACTACATAGACAGAGAGAGAGAGAGGAGAGAGAGAGAGAGAGTGAGTCAGTGAGTTAATTAGTGACTGACAGGACAGGACAAGAACCAAAAAAAAGCTTGGAAATTTATTGTGACTGCTTACCGCTTCACACTATCCACACCCCTGGCATGTGAGCGTGCCGCTGGGTGGTCCGGAATCGGCCTTGGACAAGCCGGCCCTGGTGACGGGGGGGGGAATTTGACCGCTGCCTTGTCCCAATCACTCAACTTCAGCCAGAGAGCGGTGATCTCTCTGGCTTGCCTGGGAGTGACGTAGCGGCGGTGGCGCAGTTCCACGAGGGCCTGGGCCAGGGCCACGACGTGCTGGTAGCTGCCTCCACCTGGCCCGATAACATCCTCCTCCTCCTCCTCCTCCTCCTCCTCCTCAGCCTGCTGCACCTCCATTTGGTCCACGCGGGTGAGGTTTGAGGACTGAAGGAGAGCGCTGTGGTGTTCGAGGAGACGAATCTCCTCTGGTTCCTCCTCCTCGAACTCTTCATCACTGCCCCCCACCCCCCCCGGCTTCGTCCTCATCAGTCCCTCCTGGAGCGTCAGGATCATCCAGGTCCTTCTGCAGCACAGCGCCCGTCTGGGAGAACAGGTACTCCACCCCAATGAGTTCCCCTGTGGGCACACAGAGACACAGATGTTAAATGACAGACACCTAAGACAGGTGTTAAACGTTACCGTTACCTCAGACAGATTTATGACTTACCTGTGTACTCCCTGGGCATGGTGTACGTGTCGACCAGCGTGAGCCCAAGAAGCTCTTGGGTCAGCTGGTCGAAGCTGTGCTGCAGCTGGGCACTGTAGCAACGCAGCGCCGACCTCTGTCCTCCCTCGATTCTCGTTCCACCGCACCAGGCCCTCCAGCAGGTACACCTGGAAGTGTACATCACTTGCAGATTGTCCTAAGCAGAAACAAAGCAACACAGTTAGTGTGAGGACAAATAAACACACAAATACATAATTGAGTCTGTGTTGTAAACCACACATGTACTTACCTGGGATGAAGCGGCACAGGTGCAGGTGGAACGATTCCAGGGAAGTGGAGCCTCGGCCGCACCGGTAGACGGGGAGCCTCACCCCGCCTTTGGTGAGCTCTCCCGTCTTGGTGTAGAGGTCCACTCCCGCAGGGTCCTGGATGCAGTCGAGGTGTCGGCGCTGCGTGCTCCAGATCTCCTCCATTCGGGCGCGGTCGATCAAAGGGACGCCCATGCTGTCCGTCACGTGCCAGAAGGTGTCCAGCACCTCTTGGACCAGCCGCTCCGTCTCCACTGCACCCCTGGTGCGGCACCGGCAGTGACGGGCGAGCTCCTTGGCGGACAGCTTGACCTCCTGGGCGTCCCTCCCCTCCTCGGACTGCTTGGCTCCTCTCAGGCGGGACACGTCTTCGGCGTCCCACTCAAAAATGGCGAAGGAGAGCCTCGCCATGAAGAGGCCGTAGAGCTGGTGGCTGTCGGTGGTCACCCCTCTGGCGAAACGCCGCATGAGGTGCCACACGTCGAGCCTGACGACCAGCTCGTCCCGGTCCACGTACAGGACCCTTGGAGGGGCCTTCCCGGCTTCGCGGTACCATGCCATGTCGACAAGTCCGCCCCCCTCAGCTGCGGTGAGGACGGACATGAGCACCTGCCCGTACTCATTGCCGACGTTGGCCGCAAGCTTTTTGGTGATCTGTGTGACACAGCAACACAACAACATTCAGACACATGACAAAACAAACATTACACTGGGTACACGGCACGCTGTGGTGGATAACAAAACCTACCTTCTTGGTGGAGTCCATCTTCAAAAGATCACCAAAGATGGAAGTGACTCTGGCTCTCGTCTCGTCGAGCCTCGTCAAGGCGTCCCTGACGTAGACGTTGATGAGCCAGAGCACTGTGGGCACCGGGTGCATGGTTGGGAGCGACGACGCCGCCAGCGGCGCAGCGCCCGGTACCCGAAGCTTGCGGAGCACGGAAAGGTACAGCATCGACCGCGCCATCCACTCTCTGGTGTGCTGCTCCACCAGAGAGGCACGGAGGCGAGACGCACTGTTGCCCAAAGTGCGCTCCTTCATGAGCCCGATCACAGCTCTGTCGCAGGACAACCTGGGAGGGGAAAGAGGTGATCAGAGGTTACTGGAGAAAACCACAGAAATACATTACTGTTGCTGTTACTGTTTACATTACTTACTTGTACGTGAGAACTGCTGGAAACTGCTCACGATGGGCCATGTCCAGCTGTCCCAAGATGTCCTGCGACCATCCCGGCATCTTCTTGTGACAGGAGCTGCATTCCAGGTACTCCGTGCCCATGAAGTACCAGCAGCTCCTGTCCAAGACCCTCCTCACCGTCTTGTAGAGGCCAGCTCCCGCAAGCTTGCCCCCACAGGCGACGATGGGGCAGCGGAGGTGGTACGCCCACATCCTGTAGGGCACCCACAGGAAAAAGGGACTCTGGAAAAAGGGGTGGGCTGTGGCGGGTGGCTGGGTGTAGAGGGGCCGGGCACCTTGGTGGGTGCCACCACAGGCGGAGTTCAGATGTGAGGACACCCTGCCCGTTGGGTGCCCTCCTGAACAGTGCCCGGCCCACCCAGTCGTGCTGCTCTTCGGGGAGCGTCAGCCTCCAGCCACGTGGTAGCAGCTGAAACACACAGCAGTGTCAGACCGTTAGTGTACTGAACACAGACACACACACACTACAACACAATATGTCATCACTGAGCATACCTGTGCGCCGGGGCCTGACCTCTCCCCACAGGTGTTGTCCTGAAGGGGACGTTCCGGTGGCTGGGAGAGAGAGAGAAGGGGGGGCACGGCTGATGGGGCATCCCTGCACGGGTCGACCTCCATGGCGGCAGCGAGCAGGTCAGCATCCGAGGGTCCATCCTGGGGACCAACAGCGTCCAGGGGTGGTTGTGGTGGTTGTGCTGCCAGGGCTGCCTTCTCTGCATCCCGGGCCTGCACATATTTTTTAAGTCCACCAACCTGGACGCTTTGGCTGTGGGTGCCGCCTGCCTCACAAACTGTACATAGCTAAAAAAGAGAACAGAAATGCAATGGGTAAAAAGTCACGCACACACACAGACATACACACACAGACACAGATACACACACAGACACACACAGAACAACACACAGATACACACACAGACACACACAGACACACACACACACACACACACACACACACACACACACACACAAACAAACAAACAACTTGCCTTGCCCGCTCACGGTCCGTCGACTCGTACAGGGTCTTGTAGGTCAGGTCACTATGAACACCGAACCCCACCAGCGTGTCGTCCACGCCCCTCATGGTCTGGGGACTGCCCTCGAGCATCCTACGCCTGTCGATGGCTGCCACCATCGGCGGGAACAGCCTGGCGTAGGAGACGAGGGCGTCTTTGTGCACCATGAGGGCATTCTGCTGACTAGTGCCCCTTTGTCTCTCTCTCCCTCGTGGGACACACAGATGGTGACTGCGTATCCCACGTCATTCTCCAGCAGCCACCGGAACGTCTGACCACGGTACTGGCCGAGCTGCAGCTCGCTCTCGGCCAGCACCTGATGGTGATCGGTGGGGTTACCTCCCTTCTGCACCACCCTGTCTCTTGCCTCAGAGCGCACCAGCTCAGGGGTCTTAACCACCACCAGGGCAGTGGCAGAGGCAGAGGCCCCCCTCTGGCGGCAGCTCAAGGCCAGCGCCTCCTGAGAGTCCCGCAGGGTCAGGTCAAGGTTTGCCTCAAAGCGGAAAATAGGCTGCATTTTCTAGAAAGACAAGAAATAAGATTTAAGTCAGTAATCTGCTACACATGCACTGTTTACATCCTACTGACAGTCTATTACTGTACTCAATGATACTGTGCCCATTCATTAACATACATTCAACATCAGGCGTCCTGTTTACACATTTAAACCATATTTACACTTTGAATTTTGACTTCAAACTGTAGTAACTACATCTACAGGGTCTAAGGAAGATAATCAGGTAGTCTGTTTAAAGATTAAATACATTGTGAGAGATCGCCAGCCCTCAGAAAAGTAGTAACTAAAATGACCTCATTCACCTCCTTGTTTTTAGCTAGCAAAATCACGGCTGGTCTGTTTACACAGTGTTTAAACCATATTTACACTTCAAATTTTGACTCCACCTCGTTGTACCAGCATACCAAGGGTCTTAAGAAGTGAGCCAAGTTGTCTCATCACGTTTTTAAAGCGTTTCCAGAGATCGTCAGCTCATCACAGCAGTGGCTAAATGCTCATTCATTTCCAACGCTTAGCATGCTAATAGCGATTTATATGCTAACGCATCTAAAGCACAGTTAAACTTTAAATATCAACTCCACACAATAGCAGTACAATATCCTAGGTCTCAACAAGTAAACCCAGTATGGGAATATTATTTTAAACACATTTCACCGATCGGTAATGACATCGGCGGCAGTCCTAACTTACGCTAACGTTACATTGGCTCGCTGTTTCACTGCTAACTGATTACTGTATAATATATAAGCTGCCTTTTCAATGTAGCACATAATTTTACAAACAATAAAGTTTGTCTAACCATATAATATTGTGTGAATGTCCGTCCGTCCGCTCACTCAAACGCCGCTCAGTCCGAATGAATGAATGACACTGACCGTGGCTGTGGCTTTGGGGGTGGGCGGGACATGCGGCGAGCTGTCGAATCACAGCACAGCACCCAAATGGAACAGACCAATGGGGTTGACCTGGCCTTCACCCATTGGCCTGTTCCATTTGAGCATGAGCCAATGATAGCCTCTGAAATCGGTAGGTGGGGACATTTATGTGGAACACAGGTACAGAGACGAAGGCTGTCCCAGAGGCGCTCCCCAGCGTTCTTCTCTGTTTTGGTCGGCACCCGCGCATGCGCACTAGAGCGCAAAGACGCGCGGTCGACGTGCGGAACGGGCACTCCCGCTCGCCGGTTCGAATCCCGACGGAGGCAAACTGCGAAACGCGTGCATAGCGTCGAAATGTCTTCTCTAAATATAAAAAAATGATTAAAACATGCTTGGAACCGTTGTATAGAGTCTATAAATGATAATGAATTTGCATATTTCCAAGGCCAGGCAATGCAATAATAAATGGATTTTTCATTTACAGTACGGTTTATCTCCTGTGTCTTCATTTTATTGAGAATATGTATCATCAGTGTTTATTGAGAATATGTATCATCAGTGTT